CCACCCCACCCCCCCCCCGGCTGCCTGGGAGTGGGGAGGAGGTAGGGGCGTTGGGATTGAAGGAATGAAGTTGAGCTGGGGAGAAAAAAGGGGTGGGGGAAGGTATTTTAGTTTTTGCCTTTGTTTCACACCATCCCACACTGTTTTAATTGGCAATAAATTAAATTAATTTTCCCCAAGTCAAGTCTGTTTTGCCTGGGACAGTAATTGGTAAGTGATCTCCCTGTCCTTATCTCTACCCATGAGCCTTTTCATCTTATTTTCTCCCCCGACCTGTCTGGGAAGAGATAGTGAGAGAGCAGCTGGGTGGGCATCTGGCAGCCAGCCAAGGTCAACCCTCCACAATGACATGCAAGAACATATGTGTAGAAATATATATGTATATGTGCATTTTTATATCTATACACCTAATAAGGTTTCAGACCAGATAATACCATGACGGATTTCTGGTGTGGAGATGGTCAGACAGCCTATTTTTTGTTTTGCTGATGTGTGTGGCTCCTTAATACTTTTGTGTTGTCCTTATGAAATACAGCATGGTTTGCTTCTGGGTGGAATGGCTGGCATGGATTTCACTTCCATGTTAAGGCTAGATGGTGTCAATGAATTCTTTGTGTGGAAATTCGATCCAGCATCTGGATGCTTTAACAGATCTTGTGGAGTTTCAGAGGAACAATTTGGGCATGTCTACTCCTGTCTATTAAGACCATGAAAGCTAGGATTTCTCCACCAGGTGTTTTATCTACAGTGAAGAAATGATGGCCTATGGGGACATAAGTGCCTATAATTTCAGTAGGGGACTATAAATTTGTGCTGGTTTTCTGAAATGTTTTGTAGGGGTCTTGCTGCTGTTGTTTTGTGCGGGGAAACGGTGCTTTGTGGGAGAAAGAACTAAATGTCATGCAACTGTAGTTGAGAGTAATGTCAACAGTAGACTTTGATGTTTCACAACACGCTTGACATTAAGTAAGAGTATTTCTTAATGAAAGCAGTGTTTCACAAGTGTGTATTGTTTTCATAACTTATGACCCCTAGTCATCAGAAAATTCCACATCCTCCTTTCTGATGAAACTTCTGGGCTGCTGGGAAAAACATAGTGAACATATCGATACCCTGACTTTTCTGTCATTTTATCAAGACCTTTAAATGTGAACTGTTGTATTAATGCATTTCTTTCCATTTTCCTTATCTGCAACTCTGTCATCAACTTGTTACCTGTAACAGCCTGTCTGAATCTTTTCATCTTTATTTCATCACACTGTTTGATTATTTCCTGATCTTTTATCTGTAAGAGACTTTATTTATAAATTATATAAACGACTGTGTTACCAGGCATCTTTAAGATAAACGGAGCAAGTTGCTTGTATTAATTAATAAACTGATGAGTAGCCATTTCAAGATGAGGGGAGTGTAACACTTTTCCCAGTGTAGGATGGGAACTGGAGCAGCTGTAAGCATCCAGTATTTAGTGATCTGATAAAAGTTTCTGCTTAGGCTGTGTTTGTGCTTGTGGAAATAAGATGCCTGTGATTACAGTGTGTGTTGTTTGCATTCTTGGTTTGTGAGGACTCCTAGAGATCAAGCTGAGTTGGATCCAGGGGAATCGACTTTATTTTGGTGTGTTCATAGCCTTAATTAACAGAACTTTTTCATTGGATCCAAGATCTCAGTGGAGACTATGGTCTACAAATAAATTTTAATTAGCTGTGTGTTAATTAGTGTAAACCTTCAATGCAAGGAAGGATTTCCTTGTGATGTGGTACCAAACCAAATTTTCAGCCTTTGCCTAGTAGAGTGGGGGCCCTATTTCTTTATACAAAAAAGTAGAATAAAAGCAATTCTTGCCCAAAAGATTTTTTTTTTTTTTTTTTTAACCAGTATGAAACAGTTGTGAGCAACCAGAGGATATAAGTAAAAGTAGGAAAAAACACTTCAGCTTTAGTAGGCATTGATCTCCAGCACTGGCCGCTTAGGCACTGTTTGGATGCTGTTACTAATGTTTTGGAGGCACTTAAGAGAGCTTGAAGGAAATGAAATAAGTTTGCAGTTTTTGAGCAGATCCTCCCAAGTGGGGAGGGACAGTGTTTAAGAGAAGGTACTACAATATGGATTTGAAAAGTCTGATGAGATCGATGCTATAACATGGTTGGGGACAAGAGTCTCTTAATACTGAAACAGGGATGCGTGCTTGGATGCTTGGTGTTGTTTAAATGACTGTGGCAGGCATAGGTGAATCTCTGTAACCCCGTGTAACCTTGTTATGTCAACTCATGACCTTGTAACTTGTTTCTGGGGAGTGGACCATAATTTGTATATTATTGTGTTTAATCGAGGATATAGCTTTGAATGTAAGCAGTTAGGGTTAGCGGACAAGGGGAAGAATCCAGACTTTGACCTGCAGGATAGCCAGTCACACAGGCAGTGTCTCCTGTGCGGATTAAGTTGCCAGCACGTGTGACTTGGTGAGTCGCAGCTGACCTGGCCAAAGATGTCCCGGAGAGGACACCCGTGAGGAGGACTCCCATCGGTGTGCTGTAGACAGCGAGTGGCCATCTTCTCTAAGAGTTTTTCGATCAAGGTGTACCCCATTTCAAAGATACCAGTTAAATTCACTTAGCAGTGATGCTGCAGTCTTTCATGTTACTCTGGTGAAAACTGTGAGCTTGACTGCTCTTAATCTCACTGAAAGCTAAATAGTTAACTACAATTTGGTTAACTAACTAGATGCAAACTCTTGTGGTTATGAATGCTTGTCTGCTATCAATTCTGAATGACCTTATCTTTCTATACTTTGCTGCTTGGTAACTGTAAAGGCTTCTTCCACAGGGGTGATTTCAGAGCAGTGTATCATTGCCACTCTTAAGAGTATCAGTGAGCACAGTGCCTGGGGGTTGTGAGCTGGGCTGGGGCTTAACTATCTGAAAACATGTAGCTTTTTCACTAGTTTTGTGTAACCTGGCAGACATGCTGGTGTTATTATGAAGAAATCAAGAAGCTCTGCATCTTCAGATCTGCTTAAGCTACTGGAAAGCTACACCTTCAGAGTTAGGAAGGTCTTGTTCATTCGCAGCAAGTAAGTTAAAACGGTATTAAGTCAATAAAGTTGATTAGGTGGCGATGCTGTATAATGAATAATTCTTGCTCTGGGCATGCGTACGTTGAGTACACCACCTTCTATAGTCAATTCATGGTCAATAGCAGACCACTAAGTATTGCAGTTCCTGGTAACCAAACTGCTCCAAGGCTGACATTAAGAGTACCTGAGCTCTGTTTTAGTCTCATTTAGCGTGAGCTGACAACTTAGCATTGACAAAGATGTCAGACTGAGACTGTTCTTTGAAGATAAGTAGACAGATCCTGAGCAGAGACACAGATCTGAGTAGTCAGTGCAGTGATGGGAGCTGAACTTGTTTTGCAGATGAGATCCCTGAGACAAGATACTGAGGAAAGAGACCTGAGACTAGAGAGAGCGTTGATGAAGAATGAAGATCCATGATGGGAACAATAAGAAAAGATTAGTAAGTAAGTAAGAGTAGTAAGATTAGTAAGTTAGTAAGAGTATGACTGTCATGTCCTGGGGGTGCTGGTTGACAGCCGGCTGAACATGAGCCGGCAGTGTGCCCAGGTGGCCAAGAAGGCCAATGGCATCCTGGCCTGTATCAGAAATAGTGTGGCCAGCAGGAGGAGGGAGGTGATCGTGCCCCTGTACTCGGCCCTGGGGAGGCCGCACCTCGAATCCTGTGTTCAGTTTTGGGCCCCTCACTACAAGAAGGACATTGAGGTGCTGGAGCGTGTCCAGAGACGGGCAACGAAGCTGGTGAAGGGCCTGGAGCACAAGTCTTATGAGGAGCAGCTGAGGGAGCTGGGGCTGTTTAGCCTGGAGAAGAGGAGGCTGAGGGGAGACCTCATCGCGCTCTACAACTCCCTGAAAGGAGGTTGTAGCGAGGTGGGGGTTGGTCTCTTCTCCCAAGTAACCAGCAATAGGACGAGAGGAAATGGCCTCAAGTTGCGCCAAGGGAGGTTTAGACTGGACATTAGGAAAAACTTCTTTACTGAAAGAGTGGTCAGGCCTTGGAACAGGCTGCCCAGGGAAGTGGTGGAGTCGCCATCCCTGGAAGTATTTAAAAGACCTGTAGATGAGGCGCTTAGGGACATGGTTTAGTGGGCATGGTGGTGTTGGGTTAACGGTTGGACTTGATGATCTTAGAGGTCTTTTCCAACCTTAATGATTCTATGATTCTATTTCAAGAATAGGAGGATTGTCTGAGAAGGAAGATGAGGATGGAGTCTTTTCACTGAAGTGTGGGGGCTGAAAACTTAGCTGGCAAGAGCTGATGTAATTGGAGTAAAACTGCTCCAACAACACTAGAGATGAAAAAGAAATGGCTGAAGAGGCACAGGAGGTTTTTTCCCAACGATTTTGATGGAAGGTGAGAAAAATAGAAGCATCTTTCTGCTGAAAAGAAGAATTAAAGCAATTGAAGGCTAGAAGAGATATTCAGAGGGAAATACTGGGGCTACAGGCAGTAGCACAGGGCGATGGGATCAAGGAGGATCTATGGGAGAAGAGCAAATGTTTATCTTTGCCATGCGTACCTTGCAGACCTTCCCTTCCTAAAGCTCTCTTCTCTGTCAGACAGTCTCCTGTGATAATTTTTTTCCTCTTGAAAGGAACTAAGGCTGAGTAAGCTTGAGGAATGGAGCAGTGGGTAAGTGTGACTGCAATAGGACTCAAAATTCAACTTTCTCCACCTGAAGTATTTAAATAGATGGAGGAGCTGGAAGAAGGATGTAATCCTGGCAAACGTGGAAAGAGAAGGAAAAGAGCTAGAGCTGGAGATGATTATGGCAGAGGAGGCCAAAGAGTTCAAGGTAGTGGGAACTGCCACCCTGTCGGTGAAAGTATGGGAGTAGAGGGCTAACGGTGAGCAAATGTCAAATGTTATGGCCTTTCTACCACTTCCAAACAATCACTTTAAGATTTGAGGAGCTTATGTCTCATGCTGTAAGACAACAGAGGCAGGAAAAAATTTTTTGAAGCGGTGCACACTGAGAAAGCAAATAAAGTGAGGGACTTTTTTTAGGCTGGGGGGAGAGAACGAGCAAAGAAAAACATGAAGTTGAGACAACAATAGGACATATGAAAATTAAACTTGCTGGGAGTATTTGTACAAGATTACATAATTCCTGCCTTCCCAGACTGCAGGGAGAAGTTGGATTTTTTTTTCTTTTGCTTTGCTACAGTTCTCTCACAGGTTGCTAGTGAGTTAGAACAGTGACTTCTTTAGATTAAGCAGATCTGTGCTACCCACTGCCTGTGTGTGGCAAGGAGTTCTCCGTACCATGTACAAGCAGACAATGTCTGTGCAGGCTCTTTTCCTCCTACACAAATGCTGAGGGCATCTTGCTTGTTTTATGCTTGAAAGGGAGGCTTGTTCTGTGGCTTGGACTCAACACAATGGATTTTAGTTTTTTTTCTTTTCTACTCCATTAGCTGGAAAAAATACATAAAGCACAGCAGCTCTGAGTTCATTTAGTTGAATTGCTAGAAGCCTTTGTATGTTCCAAATAAATATTTGGTAATTGTTTCACAAAAGAATATTTTTTGGCCCATAGTCAGAGTACGTACAAGAGAAAGGAAGCTCTGATACAATCTCTTGATGAAAATCCCCCTCCCTTAGCGTGCTGTTTCTCTTTCACTTGTTTGAAATGAGAGCAATGATGACAGGGGAGTCCAAGGGATCAGGGATAACCTGATGGGACTGAGGAGTTAGTGAGTTTGAGAAGTGAACAGTGTTGAGTCTGAATGGCAAAGTGAATGAATAGTGGTTTCTTCTGCTTTTGGTTATTGTAATTAAGCTGGTATGCTTAATTCTCCCATCCCTGCAGTGCTTGCATGCACATTCCATGTCCCCTGGGCATGTGCTCTGCCTTCCCCTGGTTTGCCACGCCGGTTGGGTGAGAGACAGTGGTTCCTACAAAACCATGCACGTAGTGATTGTTGGGTGTACCCAGATGTCCAGGATATTTTCATCTGTTTCATTGTTCGGCCATTTCATTGACCGAACTACAGCTTCCAGAGCTCGCAGGCGGTCGGTATTGCAGGGCCAGCTGCCGCTACCTGCTGTGTTTGTGGCCCTGTGCCGGAGCCGATCAGCTGGAGTTGCCCAATAGACTCTGCAGTCTCAGGGTGAGGGAGGAAGACGGGAAGTGGCACAGCTCACGTGAGCTTGGTTTTCTTGGGGAACCAGGCTTAAATTTGCATACGTAAAAGATGGTTTCTAAAATTCTCTACGGAGCATGGGCTTTGCCTAATTTTAAGCTTCAATAAAATAACCTGGTTTATGGCAAATCTACACCTTACGATGGTTATATCACTTGAAAGAAGCTTGCTGTCTTAACTTTTGAAGGCTGCTGAGATGGTAGCTCTCACTAACTAAAAGCATAAACCCCATGATTTAAGGACTAACTAGGTGGGTTTTTCTTACTTGTTTTTGTTTTTGGTTTTTTTTTTAAACTGTCTTCGACTGGCATCTTTCTCTTCAGTTTGCCTACTTCAAGAGCTAGTTTATTCAAAGTTGAGAAATAAATCAGATACTGAAGAAGCAGGAAGGCTTGCTTTCATCTTCTAATAAGGGAGGAAAACCCCTGAATTTAAGCTGTTGTAGCCCAGAAACATAGAATCGTGTGATCAGAAGCAGATTACGAGTACCATCTGTATGCTAAAACCCATGGTTTAATAAAAATCAAAACTTATATTTGAGTTATGAGGGGCACATGTCACATGCGCACCCACCCACAGTGATTTTACAAGATTTCTGCTTTCACATGGACGTGACTCAAATGCTGAAAGACATTCTTTTGTGATGTCACAAGATCATGCTTTGTTTCTTAACATAAACTTGAATGAATGTACAGATATATCTTTGCTTAAATCTGGATAGGGATAGTGTCTTTGCAGTTTAAAAGGTGCCAGATAAAGAATATGTTCAACAGGTTTTCCGAATCACGCTGAATTTCACTTACTCTGTAGGAAAACTACCGGTACGAGCACAATATTAACCCTGATTACTTTAAATCTGGGGGGTGGTTGTGATCTGCTTGCTATTTTGACCGTGCATAAGCCTCATGGTAGAAGAAAATTAAACTACTCCCATGCTTCTGAACTATAGCTGAGTGATTATTTATGAGGTCTTGCACATGAAGACCTTAAGCATGCCAGAGAGCAGAAGAAGATGGCATAGCTGGGAGCCAGAGAGGTTTACTCCTCAGCTTTCTGGAGGTGAGCTTTTGTTCTACCTACAGCTGAGAAAAACTGGAGATGGGAAACAAGATGGGAGCCAGAGAGGAAACTGAGTAATAGCTGGGTCCAAGATGTTAGTTCCTCCGATGGGGCTTGTTTATTACAATGTCTGCTGGCAGCTAGTAGGAAAGAATTTTAAACTCATCCTTTGCACCACAGAATTGACTTCCACAAACTGTGGTAGAGGAAACATCTGTGGATGGAAAACGTCCTGTAACAGATAATACAAGGAAAGAGAAGTGAACTGGCCTGCTCTATACTTGTTTGTATTGCAGGTATAATGCAATGTCTGTGCACGCACTTGATGTAGGAGTTGTTGATGTCTCTTCTCTTTTCCCCTTACAGGCAATGTGATATGAACAGTTACTGCTTCAACTTCCTGATTCTCAAAACAGCACTGATGCCACTTGTTCTCCTTCTTTCTTCTCTTTGCCTTTCCCATACAGTCAAAGTGTCAGCAGTAGAGGTCAACACACCAGAGGAGATATTTGTGGAGAATGGGACAGACGCAAAGCTTCCATGCACATTTACATCTGTGGAAGTGATCAGCAGCGCAGCATCTGTTTCTTGGAGTTTTCAACCAGAGGGAGCCGCAACTCGGATCTCAGTAAGGAATGGCTGTAGGGGAACAAACCTGGGAGGGGAGGCTGTGATAAGTGTGCGGAGGTCTTCTAGCTGGTTCTGAGGAGCAAGCAAATATGGATTGGAGCCTCCTTCCCTGTGTCCTGTCTCCATCACTGTGATTTTAGGGGACCTTTTTTAGAGTTGTTTAAAAGTATTGGCATATGCTAGATCTCTGCAAAGACTGGAGTGTGCAGTGACTGTAAAATATACTAGTACTTTGTTAGTCAGAGGACAGGGGTGTTGGTGTGGTAGCAGTATGTATGGAGTAGATGAGCATCTAGGACTTCTTCTAAGTTCTATATCCTCTTGCACTTGAAATGAGCTGCGGAGCTGTGCACTGAATGATAGCGGTCACAGAATTTGAATTACCACTACTGCAGTGTTACATTGTGTGTTGTGCGTGTGGCTTATCTTCTGCTTGTGTACCATATAGCCTCTATTTGAAAGGGTTTAAAATAAGACCAGACTCCCTCGTTTCATAACAGAATTGAATTGCTCAAATCAGTAAGCAGTTACATCCTCATATTTCAGTTATTTGACAAGTGAAAAATCAGACTAGCAAGCAACTTAGGCTAATAATAATTGCCATCACTCATTTCCTATATGTTGAGCCCAAGTGTGCTCAGATCCTTTGGGTGTGAACCTTCAAAGAAGCGGCTTTGGTAGATTGTTAGCTGTCTTCTTCCTCTGTCGCCTAAGCAGTGCACATCTGAGTCTGAGCTCTCTGACACTTCTGCTTCCCTCTTATTCCTTGCCCTGAGTGAGAATTTAGAGGAAGCAGAACAAAAGGGACTCTGGGGCAGCAGGGAAGATGTGGGGACAGCAGGTTGCTCAGCCTGTTAATGTTTGTCTCCTTTCCTCTGCTGCAGACATGAGATCATTTAAACTCTAGGAGCCCTTCAATGCTCAGAACAGAGATGATCCAAAACAGTGTATGAGCATCTTGCTCAATATATAGAGCTCTGAAGAATCAGCTTCTGAACTCTCAGTGAATAAATACTTAGTTTTGAAAAGGGAGCTCTTTTCTTTGGGAAGCCAAAGCAGTAGCTGGGCAAAAGCTTAAGGAGGTAGGGCATATTTCCTGCCAGTGTTGAACAGGATGGGTGAAAAGAAGCCATCTGTGTGTATGTTTTCCTCTCCCCATAGAAATGTCCACCATATATCCTGTTTTGCCCTTCCCTTTCTGCATCACTGTCCAAACCGCTTATTGTAGAAATACAATTTCAGGACATCACATTTTTTTAGAAGTGAAGTCAATTTAGACATTCTACCTGGATGTAGTTATCAGCACAACTTAGAGAAAAGGAAATTATCTTTGAGCAGAAGTGGCCCAGCACGATCTGATGTTAATTCCCTGTTTCTTTTCAGGGGCTGGGGGAGGTATAGAGGGAAGATTTTATGAACCCAAGTCATGTCAATTACATGACTTGGTGGGCATTAATTTGAAAGATCAATCTCATGATCAGCTTATGTCTGAGCTAAGTCCATGCTTCTCCTGAAAAGGATGGTCCTGTGCCTCTTTAGAATCAGCACTGGCAATCTTGTGGCCATGTGGTGAGGCTGACTTGACTGAAAGCTTCCCCTGCTTGTCCCCTTCCCCCTCCGCATGCCCGGTTATAAAGACATCTCTGCGTGAATGAAACATCTGATGACAGCAGAGTTTCACAATCGGCTTAAACCAGTCTAAACCCATCAGCTTTAGGTTTCAAAAGAAGTCTCATGTTAAATCACTTAATCATAGGCATGGAGTGGCTTGAGTCACTTAGCTTGTGTTTCAGGACATTTGTGATTTCTCCTCCCCCAGGTGAGGACACCTAGAGAGCTGAGGAATCTGTCTCTTGCCTTCTAGGCTTCCAGTCGGATGACTCCCCTTGTGTGCAGGGGCGTGGTAATGCAATGCCTCTGTGCTAGAGGTTATAATCCAGCTGGAAATGCTGCAGAGTGATGCAGATTTCCTCCGAAATCTTGACAGATGACTGTGTGCTAGCAGACTTCCTACCAGATGAGATGGTTTGTGGATTTATGCTAGCCTATAGACAACAAATAAGCATCCAGTTGACTGAAGCACAACAGATGGTCATGTGCACATACCTGGTCTGGATAAGGTTTGTGCTGCCAAATGATCAGGCCTGATATTCAGAGTGCAGGTCTGATAGAGAGGATGTTGGAATGGCAAGCCTCAGATCTAGGGTAGGAACAGGAAAAGAGATGGGAGATGACTTGAATGGAAAGAGGACTGGCTTGTAGCCAGTCTGTTCTGTGGCAGAGAGACTGCTTCGTAAAGAAGGCTGTAGAAAGAGGAGGCTGGAATATTGTCTTAAATTTCTTTAACCATGCTCTGGAGACTGAACTGAAGAGAGTTCGGACTGATTCTTGGTTGAGTTAAGTTTGTCTTGCTCTCTTTCAGAATGTGAAATTAAGAATGAATGTGCTCCTGCAACACAGCCTTGATCCCTCTCTTAGGGTTATGGCCAGTGTTCAAACATCCCATATGTTTGAAAGCAGAGTTGTCCTGTAGAAGTCTGTGTACTTCTACTGCTGTAAATTCCAGTTTTGGTCAGGTATAGCAAGGAAATATGCAGTTTCTCCTCAGACTGCACTAAACAGGTTCATTCTTCAAGGATTTTTGGTCATGTCTAGGGACTCCAGAGCCAATGTGCAACTTAGTCACCTAAAAACTGGGAAACAGTTATATTTAGTCACTGTGAAGGTTTCTGAAAAACAGCTAGGTATGTTCGAAATTGCTCATGGGATTTTTTTGGGGGTGGAGGGAAGTTTAGCTGTTAGTTTAGCTGTGCTGTAGTTGCAAGTAACACACAACAAAACATGAGATAGGAAACTTGGTATCCTTTTCCTTTTCCTACTAGGATGCAGGCGGCTTCCTGTGCCTGAAAGACAGATGGCTGTGATCCAGAACTGTTCTGTCCTGTAATTATTCCCAGGTTCCCAGCCTTTTTCTCTTTCCCCCACTTCCTTGTTTGCAAAACCCCATGTCCCCAAAACCAGGAAAAAAACCCCAAACAATCCAACCACAAAACAAAACAAAACCAACAGAAAACCAAAACTTGCGGTCTGTTGTGGTAGTATGATCGAGGTAGAAGCCATAGCATGGTTATGTGATCAAGAGGCAACAAGCCAGACTAAAGTGGTGAGGCAGGAGGAAAAAAAATCTCAAATACTAGCTGTGTATAATACAGTGGATTCTGGGAGAATGCTGTAGTAGTGAGAGAAGCATGGTAGCTCTGTAATCTCTAATTGGATTGTTTTTATATCCTCTTTTCCTTGACTACAGTTTTTCTATTACTTTAATGGAAAGCCATACCCTGGAAAAGACATACCGTTTAAAGACAGGATCACTTGGGCTGGAGATCTTAACAAGAAAGATGCTTCTATCAGTATATCAAACATGCAGTTCCGGGACAACGGCACTTACATTTGTGATGTCAAGAACCCACCTGACATTGTTGTCAAACCGGGAGAAATCCGAGTTAGAGTTGTGGAGAAAGGTATTCACCCTTTTTCTTTCCTTTCCCCCTCCCCCCTTCTGTGTCTATATCACTTTTCTTGGGGGTGGGGGAGTAGCCTGGAGGGAACAACAACTATCTTTTTAATTCTCTTCTTCCAGGTCCTAATAATCGAACGAATATTCTGTCAGCTTTTGAAAAAAATTGGATGTCATACCCTTTTCCTCTATACCCACTAATTCCTGTGCTTTTAACAAGTATTAGCTAAAGCTGATGGAAGCCTTGATGAAAACCCATCTTCTCATTTCAAATTCCTATGAATTTTTTTTCTGTATTATGCTACATCAGGGGTTAGGATGACTTTTGAAATCTGGGGAGCAAGGAGAGAAAGTGGCAGACTCTTCTTTTTGGAACCCGTCCAGTATATATACTGGAAAACTAATAATCTGGCCCGAGCACGTACTGACAGACAGTGAAATGCTACTGTCTTCCATGCGAAGTTGTTTATGTTGGATGTGCATTCAGTCTCTTTTACTCAGATGTTCTTACAGTATCCATGGTGACCCTTATAAACGGCAAGGGCTGGCTATTTGCAGTCATTTAAGGTTTCTGGTTAGCATTTGGTAACAGTGATCACAGTTCAAGAGCACTTATATTCTGTATGTCAATTTGGCTCTTTATTTCCCTTGGCCATCCAAAACATTTGATTGTTCTAGCTAAGCTGGAGGTCAGCCAAAGTGTGACTGTTCCTACAATGAAATGGTTCTTACAGTGATCAGATTTCCAAATTTATATTTAATAAGGACAAGAATAAATGTTGAATTCATAAATGGCAGTGCTGATACATCTATTCCATTAGATTTTAATATGTTAGGGAAGATACCTACGTGTATGCTCTAATTAGAATGGTACTGCTGCTATAACAGGTGTGTACCCCTGCTCATGAGGTCATTCCATGTAGTTATGTAGGCAAGGTCTATATCTAACTCTTCTCTTCACAGAGCAGTTAGAGTTGGATGGGACCTCTGGACGTCCTGCCATCACTTAGAACTTTCTGTTTCTTGGAAGTTTGAAATCTATATAAAATAGGGTCAGTTTATTTTCTTACAATGTATTGATAGTCTCTATGAAGAAGCCGTAAAGCAACTGCTGGTTTGGCAAAGTCAGGCTGTCTTGGCAAAGCCTCTTCAGATTTTAACCCAGATTAAGCAAATGGAGACTGACTTCAGTACACTAATTCAGCTGATATTTTTCAACAGACTTGCATGCCGACTTCCCCATAGGTGGAGCATCTGGACAAGAGAATCTCACTGTTTCTGAAGGGAACCTTGTATTTGGCAATACTTCTCGTCATCAGAAAAATGCTGCAACAATTGTCTTCAAATTCTTAGGAAGACCTTGAAAACAGGTTTTCAAGCTATAGCTGTAATGCTGTCCTGCATTCTGACTTTACCTGAAAGTACTGCTCTTGTAATAGGTTGTAACTCATCCTGAACTGAGCTGGAGAAATTGAAATAATTACATATTGACTCTTGTGCATTTTTTTTTTTACTATGTATACATTTAATTGTTCTGAATCATATGTCTGGTGTTGTAAACTGTTAAAAGTCACATACATACTTTACCCATTTAAATGATCTCATAGATACTTGGTTAGCCTTAGATTTTGGGTTAAACATTTAATAAGTTCTGGGTTGGCTTAACTGTTTAAAATTGCCAAGCCAAGCTAACTCAGCTGATTTTCACTGCAGTATCTTCATAGTGTTTGCACAAACAGCTCCATCAGCTACGTTGGAAGAATCCTACTGACAGGGATGAGAAGCAAGAATGTTCTTTCATAGTGCATCTGAATCTGGAAAGGACTACTGTTCAAAGCCTAAATGACAGAAATTTGTAGGGAATTCCAAGTCCTTGCATTAGGCTGGCCCTACTTGTAATAGGAAGCTACTTAACACTGTGTTCAAGACAGCTTGTGTTATCTGGAGGTAGCCCATCTTTGATTTGAACTCTCATGGGGGAAAAAATTAGAATTGTTGTATGAAAATCTTTATACTTAGCAACAACGGAAAACTTCAGTTTCCTGCCTATTTCATAAAACTGATACTAACACACTTTCAGTGAAAATGGAAGTTGCTTTGAACTAGGGTGGTATTTAGTGAAAAGTGTTCTTTGAAAGGCTGGATTTTTGGCTTGTGTTAAGCTATTAACTTAAATGTTAGCTTTCGGAGCTGGTGTTTGGTTATGGGGACTGTCTGTTACAATGAAGTCATTGGCTGCTCTGCAAGTACTTATGAGGAATTCATGTAACTGTGGAATGCTGAAAAATATAAGAAAAACATGAGGGGGGAGAAATTCTTCAGCTGAACTATGTGGTCGTAAAATTGTGTGAGTTTTTCTACAGTCTGTTGGACCATGTTCTGAGAGGCAATAAAGCCAGACTCTAGTTTCGTGTGCAAACAGTTGCATTTTTTTATACGGTCTTAAAAACCTCTGTCAACAGAACATAACTGCTGTCCTTTACTCAAATTCAACCAACCAAAAAACCCCACCTGAGTCAAAGAAATGAAAAAACTATCAAATTTTTAATATCACTCTTTCAGCAGACACTCTGCACTATAGTTTTGGATTGCTGCTTACTGTCTAGCTCTGAAAAAGTGTGTGTGTTGTTTTTTTTTCTTGTGTACAAGGCAACAGCTGGTCTGCTAACAGAAATGCATGTCTGTTTTGATGCTTTTGCAGACAGTTATTCCTGCACTTGGAAAGGTGAAAAAGCACAGGAACTCCTACTTCTTATATGCCTCAAAATAAATTTGTTTATCTTTGCATGGGGTTCAAACACAATCTCAGTCTTATGTATCTGAAAAATATTACCATTTGTAGGACCCTCTTCCTTAATAGCAGGTGGATCTCTGGGCTTCTGAAAGGTTCTGGAAAGAAGGGATGTCTTCCTCCAAATTGTGGCACTCACGTCTTCATCTTTAATTTCTTACTAAGACTCTGAATTACCACGTTGTTATGAATTGGCATCTAACACTGGAGAGCTAGGAAAGCTGCTGATGCAATATTCAGCCAAATGATGGTATGATCAGTGAAACAGAGATCATGTAGCCCTTCTCCTGAAAGTCACCGAACTCAAAATGAACAGTACTGAATGTAAACCTTGTTTTCTTAGTATGATGCCCCTGCTTCAGGGTACTGTGTTGTGCTGCTCCCTTCTAGATAAGTATGTCAAAATGGGCTTGGTCTACAGACTGCAAACTTGCTGGGAATGCTTTGTATAAGCATGGTCTGTGGTCCTTGGTGGAATGAGCCCAGCAAAGGGAGACTAAGATGGTTAAGGAACTGGACCACCTTTCATACAAGGAGAAGCTGAGAGAGCTGGGGTTGTCTAGCTTGCAAAAGAGAAGAAAGGCTCAGGGGGATCTTCTCACCAGGTATTTATGTACATTGATAGGATCTAAAGAAGGCTGAGCCAGGCTCTTCAGTGGTGCCTAGTGACAGGACAAGAGACAATGGGTGTAAACTGAAACACAGGAAATTCTGTCTGAATATAAGAACACACATTTTTACTGTGGTTGAACACTGGAATAGGTTGCCTGAAGAGGTTATGGAGTCTCCCATCCTTGGAGATAATAAAAAACAAACTGGACAGAGTATTGAGCAAACTGTGCTAGCTGACCCTGCTTGAGCAGGGGGGGTTGGGCTAGACAATCTCAAGACATCCCTTCCAACCTCAACGATTCTGTGATGATCAGATGCAGGTATCTGAGAAAGATTTTTCTATATAAGATGTTTTACTTGTTGGATCTTATGCTGATTCACTTGTATTTGGTGCAAGTAGCTAGTGTAGCGTGGAGTCTTGTAAGAAACCCTCTGGTCTAAGATGTTCCTTGCATTAAACGTGATGCAAGGGGAGGGGAGAGACTTCGTTTCTTACTGGGAAAAGCTATAATGGTAGCCTGTGTATTCTTTATCTTGTAAGTCTTTTGTATTCATTCTCTGATTGGCTTTTATTTCTGGCTGCTCTTTCTTGGCCTACCCTCCCCCAAAATTATATTGGGGAAAACGTGAGTAAAGCAATACTGTGTTCCTATAAGCGTATTTCTAGTATCGTACAATGATCCTGACTTAAGAAGGGAAAGAATGACTCTATAAAAATGTCTAGAGATATATTTTGAGACACCGGAGTCATGTATAAGCACTCTTAAGAGTGATGATGGGTAGTACCTAGGCTGTCTGCTGCATGCTGCCCAAAGAACACCCAGGGCTCTTAGTTGGTTAGCAACGCGCCATGTTCAAATCTGCTTTCAAGTGTGCCTGCCTTTTCCTGTTGACCTCGCTGGGAATTGCCAGATTAATGTAACTTTTTTTTTCCCTTCAGATACAAAATGAGACAGGGTTGTCCTCATTGTCACTTGTGTTCCCTGACATGTAAAAATTCTTGCTTCAATATAAACTCTCTTCTGAAGGACGGTGACATTAAGAACACTCTTGGTGTGTGCTCTGTTCGTACATTATTCTGCTGGCTGCCTGCTATCACTACCGGTTGGGCTGCATGTTACAATTCCTGGATATTACATTAGTGCCTTCTGCTCTAAACGAATCCAAGGTCAAGAGCATTTGTGGTTTGCACTTCTGTTAATCAGGGAATGCAGAAGAGTTGAATGTTTTCTCCCTTCTCTCCCCAGACAGCCTGCCTGCGTTCCCCATTGCCATGGTGGCAGGGATAGTCATCGGTACGGTTACAGGTCTCTCACCGCTCATCTCTATTGTCGTGTGTCTTGTCATCAGAAAGAACAACTCTAAAAAACGATACTCTGGGTAAGAGATCTCCCTCCTCACCTGTGGATGATGTGAGGAACAGCAGCCCGATCAGAGGGAGGGCTTAGAGGGGGGTAGGAGTTGTTTCAGCCTGGTCTTGGCAACTGTGGCTAGAGATAGGGTATGGTCATGTGGAACACTTGTCATCTGCCTATAATGATTATCTTTGTACCGTGCTTGAAAAGACCTGACCACGAGTCGCACTTCAAAATCACTAACTGCTGGAGTTGATCCCCAGCCACAAGCATATATGCCCTAAGAACATTTAATCCAAGATCCCCTAGCTCTGCTCTGTTCCCCTTCCCTTCCCTCCAGCTCTGCTTCCCCCAGCCCCCTAAGGAAAAGTGCCACACATGCACTTTTAAGAAATGCTCTGTGTTGAGGTTAAGACTGGATTTTTCAGTTATCAATGTCTGGCCCCTGAGCCTGGAGTATACTTGCCAAAACCCCATTCATCACCACACTTCAAAGTAAGGAAGGAGCAGCCACTCTGCATCCATTCCCATTCACTGTCTGGTTGTTGTTAACTGTTACCATCCCTGCAAGGTTTTTAGTGTTAGGAGGAGAACTCCGAAGTGAACCACAGATCTTTGAGTGGGCATACGAAAAAGCAACCAGAACTAACAAAGGCAGACTTGATCCTGTGGTGATGGAGCTTGGTGCTGGTGGAGGAGGCGCTTCCTTTTTTCTCCTCTCTAATTAGCTGGTAATTTGCTTCTATAAGAAAGAATGAAAATTATGTATGTAGCCTTAGAAACAAACCCCAAACTTACAACTTTCTTCTGTTCTTTCCCCAACAAATATTCCTGCTTCCTGCAGGTTCTTTGGGTTGCCTGTGGGATAAAAGAAAATAACTCCAACAATAAATTTGTGGGGATTTCTAAATTAAACTTTGCCCTGTCCTTTTCCCAGTTGGAGAGCTTAGAGAAAGTGAGTTGGCCATTGCCCAATGGTAAGGCTAAATATAGCAAAGGCGGCTGTGTGTGCTCAAAATTGTGTGGTTTTCCCTTTCTGCATGTGTCCTTCCCCTTAAGAACTGAAAAGAAGCCTGCAGTGTCATGCACCAACAGTGTGCGTGAGGTGGTCCGCTTGCCTTCCTTCCCAGTGACGTGCTCTCCGGTGTCTTCCTGCTG